CTAAACTAGTTCTAAACCAGGACTAAACCAGAACTAAACCAGGACTAAATCAGAACTAAACCAGGACTAAACTAGGACTAAACCAGAACTAAACCAGGGTTAAACCAGGACTTAACTAGAACTAAACCAGGGCTAAACCAAGACTAAACCAAGACTAAACTAGGTCTAAACCACGATTAAAACAGGACTAAATCAGAACTAAACTAGTTCTAAACCAGGACTAAATCAGAACTAAACCAGGACTAAACTAGGACTAAACTAGAACTAAACCAGGGCTAAACCAGGACTAAACCAAGACTAAACTAGGTCTAAACCAGGACTAAACCAGGACTTAGTTGAGTTGATGTTTGAATAATCCTGACTTGTACCACCTGACTCCGCCCACAGCTCTGGACTCACTCTGTTGGTCAAACTCTAAGGTCGAAAAATATTGGCAGGAAACGAAAGATGATTAAATAAAGGTCTGTGTACCATTTGTTTGTTTTTTTTGCATTTCAATTAAGAATGAAAAGCAATAACATGAGAAAGCGGTTTGTTGTTTCATTACTGAGCTTTAGTGTCAAGCAAAAAACAGATTTTCGACCCCTTTTTCCAATATTTAATTTAAAGTTCATTTCAAATAACACTAACTAAAAACAGTCTTGGAGCAGATTTCGATTTGATATTTTATTCTCTCTGGTTTATTTGCCGTGGAAGATTTAACAGAAAAATCTTTGCAAATTTTGTGGACAAACATGTCGTCTTCTTTTATTGCGACGAGTTTACTTTCACGTCTTAGAAAGTCATTGTTGAACGTGAAACAGGAGGCAGTGATAAACTCTCTTTTGTTCAGTTGACTGAGTTCACACTATTATTATTATTATTATTTATTTATTTTTATTTTTTTTATAGACCCATGGTTCACACGTGGCACTAAGCAGCAGAATTTCTGGGGCAAATAAACCAGAGAGATTAAAATATCAAAATAGAAATAGGTACCAAGTTTTTTGATTGGTGTTATTTGAAATAATCTTTAAATTAAATATTGGAAAAATGTTTTTGTTTTGTTTTGTTTTTTGACACAAACGGAATAATGAAATAACAAACTGTTTTCCCATTTTGTTTTATGTTCTTCATTGAAATTCAAAAGAACGAATGGTACATGAATACACGATAGGAAATCCCTTTTTTGTTGTTGTTGTTTTTTTGTTTTTACATTTTTATTATGAAGGTATTTAGATCTAGCCAGGCTGGCGCCACCTAGTGCCTCCGCTCAGTTTTATTTCTCTCTGGTGACTAGGTCAGGAATGGGAACACACGAGACGGTTTGCAAGAATCCCAGAAGTTGTGAAGTCATGAAGTCAAACTCAGGTACCTGTCTGGGTCCCTTTTGTGGAACAGCAACAACAGTAAACAAAGCGTCGAGGTGGATGTAGATGAAGACAGACATTTTGTGTTGGTAACATTTCCCGAGAGAGAATGTTTGGTTTATCAAGGGGAAAGACGTTATTGCCCTTCTTATTACAGGATTTGGCACATTACATACTTCACCAAATAGCAGCGACTGGTTAAATAAAAAAAGTACCCGCCTACTTTCAAGCGAACGAATCCTAACACTGCGAGGTCAGACGGTTTCTACGAAGTGAAACCGTCTGATGAATCAGGCTAGTGAAGTGAAACGTGGTTTAAAGAACACATTATGCAATCTTTGATTAAATTAATAAAAATCATGTCAACATTTGCAAAACACACTTTATAAACTTCACCTCTGTTTCCAATAAGGCATTTACAGCTGTCAGATACAAGACTGAACAATGAACATTGTGGTTCGGTCAAGTGGTAACGGAGGGAAACGGGCAGATTTTTTACATTCAAATGTCTCTTATTCAGAAACTAGAGGGACTATTGAAATAATAAAGTATCAGAATGTAGGAACGAGTTACACTCCAACAGGGTCAAGTTAAACCTGTGATATTCTTTCAAGTTGTTGACAAAAAATTAAAAAACTCATGTCGGTAACGGAGGGAATAAAATATGCAGCACTTTTTGGGCAATAAATCCAAACAGTGATAACTCTTGGTTCTCACTTACATATCCTTAACAAACTGGCTTGAATATTTGCTTCATATAGTTTTCTACCATATGGTACAAGATTAGGTTGAAAAACCTCTTACTTTTTGAGTAATGAGATTTTTTATTAAGAAAGGTCATGGTAACGGAGGGAAAATTAACGGAGGGAGAATTGTGCAAACAAGTAGAAGGTGCATGATTTTACATAATTTCTTAACTTTTTTCTTCCGAATACTTTTATATTACTTCAAAATGAAAGGAAACTATTTCTATAAAATATGTGAGTCCTTCCAAGCAAATTTTTATCATTTTAATACATTTTTAAAAAAATCATGTACCTTCATCAACAGTTCAAAGATGGAATAACACAAGATATGATGAAATACATCCATTTATTTACATGATTTTTGGGTCTTTGAAATTTGGGAAATAATTTTTGTTCCATGTTTCATACATGGTCTGTTTAAAACGTATGGAACTTTAGAACCAAAAATGGTACAGAAAAAAGGTAAACAGTTTCATAAACTAGAGTACATATGTATCTGTTGAATACATTTTTATATCAGATGCATTAACTTGAATTTTTGGCCTTGTTGTTTACTTCTACTTGACCGGGCCCAATAGTAAAATAAATAAATGAAGTCTTATTCCTAGTCTGCTTATCGAGCCTTGTGTTTGTTTTGAACAGTTTTACAGCCGAATGAGTCCAGCGATGGTTTTTGGACTTAAAATCAAAAACATTTCACGCCCCCCACTCCACAGAAGCACTACCAAACGTGGACAAACCTCACCCATCGCCTTCAGTCGCCGACATACGAGAGCAAACAATTTAGTTGCGTCTCCAAAACAATCCTAATGCCACGAGGTCAGACGGTTTCCACGAACTGAAACCGGCAGATGAATCAAGCTAATTTAGATCAAAATCGCGACATGAGTTAGTGCTGGTGCAGCTCGGTGAGTGAATTCTGGACGCTCTGAGCTTTCGCGCAAGGCCTGTTCTGTCCATAAATGAGACAAACTTGGCCGTGTCCTCTACCTGCAGGTGAAGACTCCGGTGACACAGGTTCAGTTATGACTCGAGTACCTTTTTATAACTGTAAGAGGTGGGCTATTATACTAGTCCCATTCAATCCACTGCAAAAACCATTTTCTCTCTCTTACTTGTTCTTTCTGAGAGGTTAAAATGGAGAATCTTGGAAATTGAATAAAAAAAATGACCTTTGAATGAGCAGGTCTGAGGCTTTTCTCTGTTTGAAAGGGCAATTTGATGTCCTCTGGAAAAAAATAAATAAAACAACTACAGAAACAGGCTCCAGCGAGTCTTATTCTGTGTCAAATCTGCTGAACCTGTAGTTTAGAAACATGTTCTGACAAGTGCCTGTGTGTCAGATGCCCTCCCTGAGTCTCCGTGAGGTTTTCTCAGTTCAGTTCAGTCATTGTGAAACAGGTCTAAACCAGGACTAAACCAGGACTAAACTAGGTCTAAACCAGGACTAAACTAGGTCTAAATCAGGACTAAACCAGAACTAAACCTGGTCTAAAAACTAGTTATAAACCACCTTTAAACAGGACTAAACCAGGACTAAGCCAGGACTAAACCAGAAACTAAGCCAGGACTAAACTAGGTAAACTAACTAAACCAAGAACTAAACAGACTAAACCAGACTAAACAAGACTAAAACAGGACTAAACCAGAACTAAACCAGGACTAAACTAAACCAGGACTAAAACCAGAACTAAGAGGACTAAACCAGAAAAAACCAGGACTAAACCAAGACTAAACCAGGACTAAACAGAACTAAACAGGACTAAACCAAGACTAAACCAGGACTAAAGCAGAACTAAACCAAGGACTAAACCAGGAACTAAAGCAGAAACTAAACAGGACTAAAGCAGAACTAAACCAGGACTAAACCAGAACTAAGAACCAGGACTAAACCAGAACTAACCAGGACTAAACCAAGGACTAAACCAGAACTAAACCAGGACTAAACCAGGACTAAAACTAAAAAACCAGAACTAACCAGACTAAACCAGGACTAAACAGGACTAAAACTAGCTAAACCACTTAACCAGGACTAACCAGAACTAAACCAAGACTAAACCAGGACTAAACCAAACTAAACCAGGACTAAACCAGAACTAAACCAGGACTAAAGCAGAACTAAACCAGGACTAAACCAGAACTAAACCAGGACTAAAGAACTAAACCAAGAACTAAACCAGGACTAAAAGAACTAAACAGGACTAAACAGAACTAAACCAGACTAAACCAGGACTAAACAAGAACTAAACCAGAACTAAGCCAGGACTAAACCAGACTAACTGACAGGACTAAACCAAGACTAAACCAGGACTAAACCAGAACTAAGCCAGGACTAAACCAGGACTAAACCAGAACTAAGCCAGGTCTAAACCACAAATAAAACAGGACTAAACCAGGATTTATCTTGAACCTGAGAGAGAGAACCCCAATCGGGCGACGGTCACCCGACAGTCTGCACGAGTTATTCCCCGAGGTCACACGCACCGTTTGAGAAGGACTAGTGTACGAGAAACCAACATTTTTACCTGTGACGCAACAATCGAGGGAAAATACAAACAAAGCATTTTTGAGCTCTCAGAGAAGATGATTTTGGATTAGTGGATTCATTAATAAAACAAGCCTGAATGAAACAAAACACAACTCCAGCTATGTTTTTGATAAGAGGACGACAGAATGAAAAGTGTTAAAAGTTATTGTAATTAGACCCTTTGTGCAAAATCGTTCCCCAAAACTGTATTATTTTGTGTCGAGAGGAAAGTCATTCCTCGTGTAACTCAGATGAAGAGAATTGATCCGTTTGTGAGTGAGGTTTTTCGACGAGGAAGAAGAGGAGGAGGAGGAAGGAGGAGGGGTCGTGTTGTCCCTTTGTCTCTCCTCTCTCCTGTGGGACGCCCTGCAGTCGTACCTGCTGCACCGGTGCCCCGACCTCCAGCAGAGCCCTGACCTCCTGCTGCTCTTTTTCCTCTCCCTCAGCAGACAGCGAGCCGACCTGAGGCAGAGCGGACGCGGATTTGTCAAATATATCGCAACAGTCGGCGGAGAAACAGATGATAGGGGTGTGTAAGACTGAAAAGTTAAAGGTCCTGTATGACACAAAATGGACTCTTGTGAGATTTAAGTTGTGTTGTAATGCGCCAAAACAGACCTGGAGTTGTGTTTTGTTTCATTCACACATGTTTGAGTAACTTTTTATTATTAGTCTGTCTTCTACGGAAGCCGAGAGGGGCCACAACAAACGCAAACGCCGCATCAAATACAAACGCGACAACACAAACGCAAATGCCGCAACACAACAAAAAGCCACAACACACCAAAAAAAGCCACAACGGAAATGACCGCGGGACTCTATTTTCATGCAAACGCGGCAACAAATACAAACGCCACAACACAAACGCCAAAACACATTAAAAAGCCACAACACATTAAAAAGCCACAACACATTAAAAGCCACAACGGAAGTGACCGCGGGACTCTATTTTCCGACGGACTGATCAAGCGGCAAGTGAAGAAGAAGAACTACAACGTGAAATGAATAATGATAAAACAATAAATTACTTTTACTTTACTTTTACTTTTACTTTTCACGTCGTAGTTCTTCTTCTTCACTTGCCGCTTGATCGGGTCCATGTCATAAATAGAGTCTCGCGGTTACTTCCGTTGTGGCTTTTTAATGTGCTGTGGCATTTGCATTTGTGTTGTGGATTTTTTATGTGTTGTGGCTTTTTGATGTGTTGTGGCTTTTTAATGTGTTGTGGCATTTGCATTTGTGTTGTGGCTTTTTGATGTGTTGTGGCTTTTTAATGTGCTGTTGCATTTGCATTTGTGTTGTGGATTTTTTATGTGTTGTGGCTTTTTGATGTGTTGTGGCTTTTTATGTGTTGTGGCATTTGTGTTGTGGCTTTTGATGTTTTGTGGCTTTTTAATGTGTTGTGGCATTTGCATTTGTGTTGTGGATTTTTTATGTGTTGTGGCTTTTTGATGTGTTGTGGCTTTTTAATGTGTTGTGGCATTTGTGTTGTGGCTTTTTGATTAGTTGTGGCTTTTTAATGTGTTGTGGCATTTGCATTTGTGTTGTGGATTTTGTATGTGTTGTGGCTTTTTGATGTGTTGTGGCTTTTTAATGTGTTGTGGCTTTTTAATGTGTTGTGGCATTTGCATTTGTGTTGTGGATTTTTTATGTGTTGTGGCTTTTTGATGTGTTGTGGCTTTTTAATGTGTTGTGGCATTTGTGTTGTGGCTTTTTGATTTGTTGTGGCTTTTTAATGTGTTGTGGCATTTGCATTTGTGTTATGGATTTTTTATGTGTTATGGCTTTGTGATGTGTTGTGGCTTTTTAATGTGTTGTGGCATTTACGTTTGTGTTGTGGCGTTTGTATTTGTTGCGGCGTTTGCATTAAAATAGAGTCCCGCGGCCATTTCCGTTGTGGCTTTTTTGGTGCGTTGTGGCTTTTTGTTGTGTTGTGGCTTTTTGTTGTGTTGTCGCATTTGTATTTGTTGCGGCGTTTGCGTTTGTTGTGGCCCCTCTCGGCTTCCGTAGTCTACATCTCCAAAGCTCAAAATGCTTTGTTCCAATTTGTGATGTCATGACCTGCGCCTTTTAGTTCAGTAGATTTCAGCAATTCTTGGCTTGAAATTATCCAAACTATTCTAGCGAAGGTGTATGGAGTTTAAAAACACAGTGGAACAGTGGAGTGTGTTAAACATGTGTGAATGAAACAAACAAAACTCCAGGTCTGTTTGAGATAGAGAAACAATCTGATAACATACTGCAGATCAAAAAATTGTGAACAGTATTTTTCGGACTATGACTCGCACATTTTGGGGGAAACTACATTTTAAATAAGAAAAACAACAATTTTTTGCACTTAAAATAACAAACAAAATCAAATGTTGCTTGAATTAAGTAAAACACACTTACTCCATTGGCAGATAATTTTACTTGCCAAGTTGAATCTACTCAAATAAAGTCAAATACTCTTAATTTAAGTCATTTTAACTCACCTAGATATTGTTTTTTTCCCAATGTAAAAGGAGTTGACATCATGACATGACATCACAAGGTGGAACAGAGCATTTGGAGCTTCGGAGATGTGAACGAATGAATGAAATGAATCAAAACATGACTCCAGGTCTGTTTTTGAGGAGGTAACAACATTATAATATGACTTAAAGGTTGTATAGAGGATTTTTTTAAGGAAAGAGAAATCCAGTGACAGTCCTTTTTCAAATGTAGTGCATGCGTGACACCACCTTCCTCGACACCTCAGTTTTTAGACCCTTCGTCCGCTTCAGTCGCGCGATCGCTGGAAGGAATCTCCAAGAATCACCTCAGTTTGTCTTCGCTCCTTTTCTCCTTCTCTTCTTCTTTCAGCGACCTCAAAAACCGATTTTCTTTTGCGGCGAACTGGTCGTGGATTCTCGTCCGCCATCGCGACAAACTTTATGCGAACTGCGAGAGAGCCACAATTAGAAAAAGCCTCTAAGAACTGCTGCATAGTTACCTTAGAAATGTAGGGAGTTTGATTGACAACCTGACAGCCAATAGAAAATGAGGCAGCCTCGTTTTCTATTGGCTGATGTTTATCTGGCCTCAACACGTCCACAGTTGATAGATTTTCTTTCTTTTTTTTTTTTGGTCATCATAATTACAAGGCTGCTGCGTCTCTGTAATGGTGTATTAAACTTTCATTGACAATTTGAAACAAACAAAAAATCCTCCATACAACCTTTAAAGCTCACAAGAGTCTATTTTTTGCATAACTTAGGACGTTTAAGACAGTAAAAATCAGGTACAGCGTCTTTAATTTTCACTTAAATCTAACAAAAAAGTAAGAAGAATATGAGTTTGCAGTTGTCGTAATCATCTCTTCCTGTAATGAGAGGAAGTTATTTCAGCTCTTGTGTGTTTTGTGCCAGCGCAGCCCTCCTCTCGTCACTATTTATCCCAGCGGTGAGTCTGGAGACTGTAATTTTGGCTCAGACTTCTCTCGCCGCGACCTGTGTCTGGAGGAACAAAGAGTGTGATTGAGTGATTAGGGGCCTTGGTCTCCGGAGTCTAATGCTTTTGTGCGCCCACTCGGCCTCCCGCGGGCCCCCGGATCGGCCCCCCGACTGGCCCCTGACTTACCCAGGTTAGTCACAGGATAATCCACTGATTCACGGTCTCGTCTGGTCCGGCGCTGGTGACGCACGTAATCACAATTTACCGTAAGAGAGGAAAGTTTAAGGTTCAAAGTATTAAGGTTTTTTATGTGATAACGTTGTTTCTCAGGCCCTTTGTCCGAGGCTCCGCCCACGAGCCGACGTCACCCGAGCTCCCCCACAAATTCACCAAAAATATACAAAATATACACGAATAAAAACTGCGTGGCAACTTGACAAACCTGATGTGACGTGCAGTAGTTTCATGAGCAGGATTCACGCTGATTGGGCTGGGATAGGGCTTTGAAGGGGGGGTAACTTAGAACAGGGAGCAGAGAAGTGAAATACTCCCTATTTAAAGGAGGCGTATAAAGGATTTCAGGGATTTTAAGCATGTTGATTTGGTTTTCCCAGATTATTAGCCTATTCAGAATTTTATAAACTCTATAGGGATGTGACAATAACCGAAATATCGTGATATCGTATCGTCAAAAGTCTCACAATATATCGAATTACAAGTTGCTTTGCTTAAATGCATGGTTTTAAAGTAGGAACAGCTTATAAACATCAGGAACTACATATCCCATGATTCATTTCAGCTCAAACAACATGAAGAAATATGTTTTTTACTTGAATTCTTGGGATTATGACGGAAATAATTCACACCAAAATCTTGTCAAGGCATTTTAAAAGCAAAAACGTGTCCTATCTAGAATTATATTAACCTCTTCAAAATATCGCAATAAATATCGTACCCTGAGATGCATATTGTGATAATATCGTACCGAGAGATTTGGATATCGTTACATCCCTAGCAGATACGGTTTGTCATTTATTTAAACCACTTCACTGCTTCACTCAGTTTATTTGACATGGCATCAGTTAATTAATTCACTTTATACTGCAAGTTTTTTGAAAATCTACCTTGATAAAGCCAGTATTTACTATTTAGTGTGCGGTTTTAATGATTTTAGCATGAATAAAGGATTGATGGCTCATTCTAACGTGTTAAACGTGCACATATTTCAATTATTCACTGTACTGAGCACCAGTCTATGACCCTCGATCGGCCCTCTGCTTCATCTGTGTTTAGATATGTGGCCCTTGATGAAAAAAGTTTGGACACCCCTGTCTTAATACATGTACAGTTGATCAATAAAAGTCTGTTTGTGAGGAGGTAGCGAACATTAAAACATGACTTAAAGCTCACATGAATCAGTTCTATGTGATGTACAATTGGACCTTTAAATCACATATGTACTCAGCTGGTACTAAATATGGAACTAAATCTGGACAAGAACAGGGCCAAACCAAGTCTACTGGGCTCAAGCCAGTCAGGTCTGAACTGGGCTCAATCCTGGAACAACTGCTGCTGTCAAACTCATCATTTTGGTCTTAAAATGTTCTTATTAATCCACTCGACGTGATGACAGGGGAGGTCAGGTGAACGCAACAGGAAAGCCTCTTCTAAGCCTCAGTCTCTGTTCTGTTGTTTTGGTGAGCCATACCTTTTAAGTACTTTCTCCGGAAGGTCTCAGAGTGTTTCTTCTGGAACATCTTCTGCCACAAAAGCTGTAGCATCGTAAAAGTCCATAGGAACCTCTTGCATGATCTCCAGGGACACGAGAAAAACGAACTGCTAAGGGGTGTGACGTGGGCTGGGGTTGGGTCTGGTCGTCCATAACTTGGGGAGGATAGTGCGCTGCCCAAGAGGTCTGGCCTGTGGGAGAGCTTCAGCGTCCCTGAGCCACGTACAGTCGAACCCGCTGTGCTCAGGATCCTTGGATATCTGATTATTAGCCTGTTCAGAGCTGTATAAACTTTAAGATAGTAGATATTGTTTGTCAT